CTTTGGTTTGAGACCAAGGGGCAAATCTTCCGAGGAGTGGCTTGTTTCTCACCTGGATTTCCAAAGTAATCATCTTGACAAATGTAGGTGTACTTATGCTGAGTCTTCCGTTGTGGTGCAGAATCATCATTGGAGGACAGATAAGCCATGCACTCTTGTTTTAGTATCTCTAACTGCTGTATTCTGAGCTTAAATGTTCCAAATCACTTTCACAAGCTCGGGAGATAAGCTAAGTGTGTAAAGTAAGTAGATGAGGGTAAGTCTGGCAGTGAACGGAAGAGATGAGTAGGGTGGTAGGTGGGTAATTTGGTAGGATGGTGAGAAGATAGAGTAACAGTTGGAGAAGGAGGTACAATGGAGGTAGTTAGGAAGAGTGTTAAATTAGAGTTAGGTGGTGAGTTGGGATGGCGTTGTTTGGAGTGTCTCAAAGAAGAGTTGCTGAGGTTGGTATTTTATATGTTCTTAGAGATGGATGTGGAGTGGGTCTGGATAGCCAAACGGGGAATGAGAATAATAGAGTCATACAGTCACATAGCACAGAAACAGACCCTTTGGTCTAACCAGTCCATGCTGGACATAATCCCAAACTACTCAAAAATAGCAAGAACTGCAGATGCTGGAGTCTGAAGAAGGGTCCCAACCCGAAATATCAACTTTCCTGCTCATCTGATGCTGCCTGGCCTGCTGTGTTCCTCCAGCTTCACACTGTCTTGTCTCATAATCCCAAACTAAACTTGTCCTACCTGCCAGCTCCTGGCCCATCTCCTTCCAAACCTTTCCTATTCATATATCCATCCAAATGTCATTTAAATGTTGTAATTGAACCCGCATCCACCGCTTCATCAGGAGGCTCATTCTACATGCGAACCACCCTCTGTGTAAAAAAATTGCTTATGTCTTTTTTAAATCTCTCTCCTCTCACCTTAAAAATGTGCCCGCTAGTCTTTAAATTTCCCATCTTAGGGAAAAGTCAACTACCATCAACTCTATCTATACCTTTCATTATTTTATAAACTTCTATCAGGTTGCCTCTCAACCTCCTATGCTCCAGTGAAAAAACTCCCAGCTGATTCAGCCATTCCTCATAACTCAAGCCTTCCATACATTATATGCAGAGCAGGGAGATCTCTGAATGATTATCTTGCAGCATGTTCTTCTTCACACCAAGTGTCACTTAAAATGATATCACTTCCTGAGAGAGATGGAAGACAGCAAGATCCAGGCTAATTAAGGCATAGAGGACTTGTGCCCTTTTTATGCCATGTCAAATTTGGATTTTTGAGTTAATTAAATTGTCAGAGGAGGAGAATGCATATTCATCAATTCTACTTCTCTATCATTCTGGTATTTAACTGGGAACTTCATTACAGTTACTCTCTGCTACTCATTAACATAGTACCTATTGTAATGCAAATAACCAATGAAGATGGGTTTCCTGAATGAACTCTGGTTGGGTGCAAAAACAAAGTTGCTGGAAAAGCTCAGCAGGCCTGGTAGCATCTGTGAAGAAAAAAATCAGAGTTAATGTTTCGGATCCAGTGACCCTTCCTGATTTACAGCATCTGCAGTTCTTTTGGTTTTTATCTAGTTGGGTGCAACAAGTCCTAAAGTCATATTTCTAGCAAATTGTTTAGCTGGTTATTTTCCTCAGCTGTATTGTGTTTATGTATATTGAATGTATTTTATGGCGTTAAAATGTTACCATGTTAGACCCTCTGATTTGATTTTGATTTTCTTCAAAATACTATGCCTAATGTGATTTGATGGCTTCCGTAACTATGTTTCATACATAATAGAAAAAAATGCATACTAATGTGCTTTCCTTAGCTGTCTTTACGCTGAATTATTCCTATTTTAGAGATAGTAGGAACTGCAGATGCTGGAGAATCCGAGACAACAAGGTGCAGGGCTGGATGAACACAGCAGGCCAAGCAGCATCATAAGCTCTCCTCTATCCCTCTTCTATCCGCCTCCCACTCTCTCCCTATTTATTTCAAAACCCCCTTCCCCTCCCCCTTTTCTGATGAAGGGTCTAGGCCCGAAACGTCAGCCTCTCTGCTCCTATGATATTCCTATTTTACATCAGTTTTTAAGCTTCGGCATAATGTTAACGAGAATCTGAGGAATTTCCACGTAAATTGCTGAATGAAAGATTGTTGGACAATAAAATGTTAATTTTTGTATCACTTGTCAATTATGTACCTTTTAGAAATTCTGCTAAGTATGTTAAACTTGGATGCCCTTGTTATAAATGTGCCTGTGGTGCGTCTTCATAGATGGTATTTTGCAGGAATTGGTGAATTACGCAAGATACTTCATTATGCTAGGCAGGACCGCTTGTTGTTGATCTTAGTCCATGCATGGAGTCGTGAAACTGGTGATGGGCTTGGTATATCGAGATTTGAGCTTAGTGAGAGTCAGTGAAATTTGAACTTCTGGAGCATTAGTCTCGCTCGTGGATTGACTAGGCAACTAAAACATTATTCTACATTACTGTTCCATACTGTTGGCTTCAGAGGTCCAGAAGGCAACTAACTTTCTTATTTACAATTACAGCACTACTGCTGATCTCTGAACATTATGATTGACAGCGATGTGATGTAAGGTTATACTGCTCTAATCAAGTGTTTCCACTATCATGGAGGTGAGAACATCCAGTGCTCAGAAATAATTCATTACAAGCAAGAGAAGTGAAAGGTCAGAGAAAGAGAAAAATGGACAACAAAGGGCCAGTTTGAAAGTGATTTTCATAATTTGCTTCCCTTGACGGTCTTTTCCACAAGGGAGCCATTTTGCTGTAGTCAGTGCCCTCCATGCAGCAATTTCTTTGAAAGAAACAGTGGGAATTAGAATCAACAACAAAAATTGCTGGAGAAACTCCGCTGATCTGGCAGCATCTGTGAGAAGGGGGCAGTGTTAATGTTTGAAGTCTGGTGATTGTTCATCAGAATATTTAGTAGCTAGGAAAAAGTGGTAGCTAAGCTAAAGCTGAAGTTGGCGGGGGGATAGGGCAGGAGAGAGCTAATGGATATGTGGAGATGGAGCCCAAAGACAGAGATATGAAAAAGGTAAGTAAACAAGGGGATTATAGATAGCAGGCTAGGACAGAAGAAAAGCTGGACGAGTGATAATGAACAGCTAAGGGTGAGATTATGGGATAGCTGTACTGAATGCAACACATATAATGTGATATAGGCTTGAGAGTGGGTGATGATGGGTTGGCTGTCCTAAAAGTAGCCCCTGGAATAACAGGACTGGGTGTCGGGTGAGTAAAAAACATGGAAAGATGGAATCAGGCTCTAAAGGTGTTGAACTCGATGTTGAATCTCAGAGGCTGCGGGGACCCAAAGCAGAAAATGAGATGTTGTTCTTTGAGATTGCACAGAGGGTTGCCGGAATATTGCAAGAGGCTCAGGAGAGAGATGTTGGCATGGGAATATGGTGGTGTGTTGAAGTGACAAAGAACTGGAAGCTCAAGGTCATTTTCCAGAAAGAATGTAGGTGTTCTGCAAAGTGGTTAACCAGTCTGTGTTTCATCTCCTCAGCATGGAGGAGACCGCATTGTGAACAGTGAATACAGTAGATTAGATTGAATAAAGCACAGATAAATCACTGATTTACCTGGAAGGCCTTCGCTAGTGAAGAGGGAAGAGGTAATTACACCTTCTGTGATTGCATAGAAAGGTGCCATTGGGGTGTGAGGAGATATTGGGAATGGCGGAGGAGTGTAACAGAGGTTTCCAGAGGGAATGGTTCCTGTGGAATGTTGACAAGGGAGTGGAGGGGAATATGTGTGCCATTGTGGCATCCCACTGGAGGCAACAGAAATAGTGGCTTACAATCCTTTAGATGCAGAGGCTGGTGGATGAGTAAGTGAGGGCCAGAGGCATCCTATTGCTGTTATGGGAGGGAAGAGAAGGGGTGAGGGCAGAAGTGACAGAGATGGGTCGGACACAGCTAAGGGCCCTGTCAACCATGCTGGTGGGGAATCTTGGTTGAGGAAAGAGTAGACATTTCTTAAGGAAGATGGCATCATTGCAACAGATGCAATGGAGATGAATGAACCTGGAGAATGGAATAGAGTCCTTACAGGAAGCAGGGTGTGAGGATGTAGTCCAGCTAACTGCGGAAGTCAGTAGGTTTGTATGGATATTAGTGGCCAGGCTATCCCGAGAAATGAAACAGAGATGTTGAGGAAGGGAATGGAGGAGAATATGATTAACCAGGTAAAAATGTAAGCAGGATGAAAATTGGAAGCAAAATTGATACAATTTTCAAATTTGGAAAGATAGAAAGAAGTAGCACTGATGGTGTCATCAATGTACTGGAGAAACAGTTGTGGTTGGGGACCATAGTAGGACTGGAACAAGGAATTATCCATGTAACCCACAAAGAGACATACATAACTGGGGGCCCACGTGCGTACCCTTGGCCAAACTATTGATCTGAAGAAAGTGAGAGGAGCTAAAGGAAAGTTTGTTCAGAGTGAGGACGAGCTCCGCCAGGCAGAGGAGGGTCGTCAGTTCAGGTTTTCTTTCCAGGAAGAAGCCTGGAGCCTTGAGACTATCCTGACGGGGAGTGGATATGTAAATGGAATTAGAATACTCTGCTGAAACTAATTGGTCCTTTCGGACAAGTAACATTATTTTGCTGTGAAACACATACCGCGCGAATCCTTACAGAAGCTCTCTTGGTTGTTGTGATTGCAAGCTCTCATTCAGAACCCCCTAGCGTCAGCGGGTGCTCGGAGCCAAGAAATCAGACCTGTTCTGTGTTTCTGCAGCTGGATCTGTAACTGGTTCCTCAACCTGAGCCACTTTTTGTTCAACGGATCACTGCAGTGGGATTCACTCGTTTCTCTGACCGCGCTTGGAATTAACCCCTGGCATCCCTGAAGCTTTCATCACTGGTCCCTCCTCTCCCATTCGCCTCAAATCTTGAGGCAGTTTGTTTCTGGGACAACCTGTCGGCACCGTGTGATCTCCGGTCTCTGAGGCAGCATGAGTGCAGACTGCAGCGGGTATTATACCGCGAGCAATGCCTTCGTTCCCAACTTCACATGTCCCAAACCCGACAGCGATCTGGGCGCCAATTATTGCTGCGGCTTTAATGATATCAAATACTGCTGTGATGACCCTAACAGTTTCTTCCCTTACCAGTACAGCTACATGTGGTCGTTAAGGTAAGAGAGGTCCTTCAGTGGGTTTCAAAATGTGATTTACAAAGGGATGGCTTAAAACAAAAAGTTTTTATTTTAAATCCTTAATACTCCGATAGCAGTATTTAATAAAAAGCTCCCCAAATAAATCCTCTGGACAACTCGGAGAATGAAGACGACCTCGCTTTTTGCTGTTGTTAACGCTCCCTCCGTAAATAAGGTGTGAACTCAATGTTGAAGTAACCCTTTTGAGCTTTAACAGTAGATTCACAGAACGACATCTATGAGTTAATTCAAAAGGAAAAGCCAATGAGAATAACAGTTGATGCAAAGACTGTGTCTTTGGTTGGTTTAAGGTTATTTTACACAGAAGTTAAAAACTAAGTGTAAAACTGGAAAACTGAGCCCGTTCCTAAGTAGTATCTCGGAGATTATCCCGGAAGAATGATAAGAGATACAGCGTTTCTATTTGTCAGTGCCACTGGTGGGGAAATTATAGCTGCCCCGCCATTCCTGTAAGTAGAATTACTGTAACATTAGCTCTTTTATCACGGTTCGAGACTCAATCTTGCGACAGAAATTTTCCAGAAGAGTGGCTCCTGGGCAGTCGACTGCAAGCCGTGAATAATCCTAAATGAAATCGAACAATTGATAATCAGAACCAGACGGGGTGTTTGTGTCTGCCAGTCAGCCTTACTTAGCCCTGGCAGTTTTACAGTTGGTTTGTAACTTATTCCAAGGACATATCAGTCTTGTAAAAACAGTTTGTAAACGCATATTCTCCTATTTCTATCCAGACGCAAGCGGATTGATATAAGCAATGTCTTCACTTAAACACATTCACCTACACTGAAAAAATGCTAAAGAAATGCACACAATTTTCTAATCTACTGACTCTAGAGGATTTTTAAGGATGTTTAAATTCTATTGTAATGTGGAGGCATTGTACTTGTGATGTCAAACGTGTTTCGAGACGTGTTTACATGAGTAAGCGGTAATTTAGTGGAGTGCTATAGAGCTGGACCTCAGCAATTTGATGACGATGATAGAACCGAATTTTTAATAACTAACTTCGCTAATGACACCAAGATAGGCTGGAAAATAAGTTGCCAATAGGGGGTTAGAGGGTCTGCAAAGGGATAGGCAGGTTAAGCGAGTGGATAAAAAATGGCGGAAGGAGTATAACAGGGATAAATGTGAACTTGTCCACTTTAGCGGGAACAATGGAAAAGTCGTATAATATTTAAATGGAGAGCGATTGCAGCACTTAGTGCAACTTTAGGGTCTGGATGCCTTGGTACATGAATCACATAAAGTTAATACGCAGGTGCAGTAAGTGATTAAAAAGATGAGTAGAATATTGTAATTTATTGCAAGGGGTGTGGGATATAAAAGCAGGGAAATTTTACTACAGCCATACAGGACATTTTGTGTGACCATATCTGGAGTACTATGTACAGTTTTAGTCTTCTTATTTAAAAAAAAATGTATTTACTTTTGAAGCAGCTCAAGAGACGTTCGTTTGTCTTGTTCTTGAATGAAGGGCGTTCCTTATGCGGAAAGGTTCGTCGGACCGGCATCCATTGGAAACAAAACTGAAGTTGCTGGAAAAGCTCAGCAGGCCTGGCAGCATCTGTGTAGAAAAATCAGTTAACGTTTTTGGTCCTGTGACCCTTCCTCAGAACGTTCCTCTGCATCTATTGGAGTTTGTAAAAATGACAGGTGATTTTATTGACTCATAGATCTTGAGAGGACTGGATAAGGTGGATACCAGGAGGATGTTTGCTCCTTTTGGAGGGACTAAAACTATGGAACATATTTTAAGAATAAGTTGACTCATTTGTAAGGCAGATTAGGAACGTTTTTCTTTGAGGGTCATTACAGAGTGGAATTTTCTGCCCCAGGAGGTAGCAGAGGCTGATTCTTTAAACTTATTCAAGGCTGAGTTGGATTTTTAATACCCAGGGGAGCCAAGAGTTATAGGGAACGCACTGAAAAGTGAAGCTTAGACCACAACCAGGGCAGCTGTAATCTTATCAAATGATGGATCAGGTTTGAAGGACCAAATGGCATACCTTTAATCCTAAATCCTTGTTCCTATATCCTACACAATGTGGATCTGCCCCAACCCCCAACACATTACAGCATGGCTATTATAAGAGTCATAGCGGCATGGGTTCATACAGAATGGAAACAGACCCTACAGACCAATCGGTCCATGCCAATCATAATCCCAAACTAAACTTGTCCCAACCACGTGCGCTTGGCCCATATCCTTTCAAACATTTCTTATACGTGTACTTATTGAAATGTCTTTTAAACATTGTAACTGTACCTGCATGCACCACTTCCTCTGGAAGTTCATTCCACGCACGAACCACTCTGTGTAAAAAAATTGCACCTCATGTCTTTTTAAATCTTTCTCCCATAACCTTAAATATATACTCCCTAGTCTTGAAATCCCCCACTCTAGGGAAAAGACACCTGCCATTCACCTTATCTATACCCTTCATGATTTTATAAACCTCTATAAGGTCACCCTCAACCTCTTACTCTCCAATGAAAAAGTTCCAGCCTATCCAGCTTCTCATTATAATTCAAAACCTCCATTCCTGTCAACATTCTGGGAAATCTTTTCCGAAACCTCTCCAGCTTAATAGTAACCTTCTGTTAACAGGGTAACCAGAACTGGACATGCTACTTCAAAAGAGGACTTACGAACATCCTGTACAACCTCAACATGATGTTCCAATTCCTATACACAAAGGTCTGAGCAGTGAAGGCAAGTGTGTTAAAAACCTTCTTAATTACCCTGTCTACATGTGATGTAAACTTCAAAGAATCATGTAACTGAACTCCTAGGACTCTCTGTTCTACAGCACTACCCAAGGCCCTACTTTTAATTGTATACGTCCCATCCTTGATTGTTTTAACAAAATGCAATACCTCGCATTTACCCAAGGAAGCAGGGAAATAATAATATAGTTCACAACTCATCGTGTGTATGTGGGAATGTATGGGGTGATAGTTGTTGGGAGGTGAGTGCTAACCACTTTATGTCTCTGTGTAACAGTTGGACAAGTGAAAAAATATCTTACAGAACTGGAGAGGGTGCAGAAGAGATTTCAGGATGTTGCCTGGGCTGGAGAGTTTCAGTTATGAAGAAAGGTTGGACAAACTGAGGTTGTTTTCCTTAGAGCAGAGGAAACTGAGAGAGTATATGATTGAAATGTATAAATTTTATGAGGGACACAGATATGAAGAAACTTTTGCTCTTGGTGGAGGGACCAATGACCAGGATAAGATTTAAGGCCAGGGTAGAAGGTTTAGAGAGGATGTAAGAAAATCTTTTTCACCCAGAGAGTGGTGGGAATGTGGAACTCACTCCCTGTAAGAGTGGTAGAGGCAGACATGCTCATAACATTTCAGAAGTATTAGGATGTGCACTTGCAATTCCAAGGCATACAAGGTTTTTGACCAAGTGCTGGAAAATTGATTCGAATAGTTAGATTTTGCTTTTGACTGGCACAGACTCGATAGGCCAAAGGGTCTTTTTCTGTGCTGTAGATCTCTGACTCTATGACTTGAAAATGCAGCTGGAAAATATGTTTTTTGGCAATGGTAAAATTGCTTACAATACATTTATAGAGTCACTAACAAATAACAACTTGGATCTTTTAAGGTCAGCAACACCAGTGCCAACAGTGCTGTTAAACAAAGACTGGTGTAATAAGAGAGGCAATAAGGTCTGTGCAGGATAAAACTGAGCCCAGTTGAGATATGTTAGAAGCAGCCATATTGTAGAGGAGTCATGGGAAGTGATTGTTCTCATAATACTAATATATATACATTTTTTTGCCATAGTATAAGATATAACAGTTCCTTATTCATCTGCATCTATTGCATATATTAGAGAAAATCTTCCATGTAATAGATACTTGCCTGTAAGTATTTCCCATGTCTTTTGCATATAGAGGGTAGTGCATTTTTCTGTTTTGAAATAGACGGGAGAGAATAAACCTCATGTTTCAGTACACAGGTGATAGTGATTTTTTCTGTGGTAAAACAAAAAATGCAAGTAATTTTTTTCTCCATGTCAAAAGTAGCCTATTAAATCTGCGCCAAAATTAATATTTTTGATGTCCATTAACATGTATTAATATTTAAAGTCTATCTGACATCAGTTACATAAACAATAGGAAAAATGATCATATAAGTATAAAGTTGGAATTTTAGACATGTTCCAAATAATGCCTCAGTAAATTGAAAGCATTTTTATCATAAGAGGCACAGTATATTTTACCATGTGGGGAAATACCTGATTCCATTGAATCAAAATCCAAAAGCCATCGAGCAAAATTTCTAAATGTTTATATTCTGCAAGTCTACACTGACAGTTTACATAATTAATTGTTCATGCTTGGTAATGAATGAACAGCAACATTTTATGACTGTACCTTCCTCTCTTTCTATCGGTTGTTTTCTGTGTGCCTTTGGTTCTCTCCTTTCTCATTCTTTCTATCTACTGTATAGCCATATTTTTCTATGTTCTAACTTTTACCTCTGGTTAGGACTGTTAGTATGTACCCCCGAGGTTTGTCTATTCTTTCTTTATAGCCTCTTTCTTGGTATATCAAAGACTCGCTCTATCTGTCAGATTATTTATCTGTGTTTCTCTTTCTCTGTCTGAATTTTTGTATCTGTGCCTCTGTCCATTTGGAAAGGCACTGACTATTATGGTGTAATTCTGATGGTTCAGGTATGGGAACATTTAGCAGTGTTCAAGGAATTGTATTCTGCTTTCTTCCATAAATTGGTCTTTGGTTCTTTTACTTTAATTAAAACCTACTGTTTCATATTTCTCCAGTACCTTCATTCTGTCCAGATTTCCTGTTCTTTCATGACTTTGAACAATACTGAGGCGAGAAAAGGCTGGAAATTGATTGCAGAGCTACTGACTTTTGCTTAATCTTTGCAGATTTCAGGGTTTTATGTTGGAAGTGCCTGTGGACATTCTATGTACCTCTTCAAAATAAATGGCAATGTAATGATAATATGCATCTCATTACTCAACATCACAGCAGAAATGTGTACGCTATTGAAGTGCAGCATTGTGTATGTGACACAGTGATTTATACTGCTTCACAGTAACCCAAGCTGCTCCACTACTGTCTTAGTCTCTCTGGCCTGTGGAGCGTACCTAGGAAATTCACCAGAGTCAATTCTAGGTCAGTAGATTTAAATATTAGGTCAGTAGACTTGTGTGGAAAGCCAATTCTGGAACAAGAGCACTGAGGAAAATTTGTTACTTCCTCTTGTACTTTGAGATATGTTGATTCCATCTTTTCTCGCAATCTCAGTTGAGTCACACATAGAGAACAGAAAAGATATCTCGGCAGGAGAGGAACCATTATGTGAGAAAGGGAAGAGACAAAAAAGGTTGTAGTATTGGAATAGAAGAATATGCAAAGTGAAAGTTCTCAAGAGTGGGTAAGTCTATGAAAAGGGGGTAATGGTTGGAGATAATTTTTAAGATGAATACATTCAGTATATGATTCGGTACACTCAAACATTAGTTTGTTGCTTTGCATTTTGTTTAAATTGTGCAATGTTTTTTCTCCAAGTTCTATTCACAGAGACAGTGTAAATTTTGGAAAGAAATTTGTATAAAATGGACTGTGACAGTGAAGTAGATGTTTTTGTTCGTTTATTACTTTCTCGGTTTGTGAGCCAGCTAGTATATTTGTAGGATGGAATTCTGCATATATGATATGCATGTGCTAAATGGGAGATTTTTATATTTATTTACATACATAGTTAAATAAGATTGGTAGGGTTGTATTAATTTTGATTATATTGCTAATAGGTGTGACATTGTATTTGATGTCAATGCAGATAGTTTAATGATTAGAACATAATTACTAAAAGGTTACTGAATCACGGTCAACTATTACTAATTGCAATAAAATCAAAGTATATTATGTAAGAGAATAATGAATTGCTAGTGTATAGGTGACAAGGTATTTCAAATTTTGTGATAAAACATAAGATTTCTGTATCATCTAATGCCCAAGTTGCATTTAATTCTTAAAAATAATCCTGCGCATTTCTATTTTTTGTTTAATTAGATATAAACCATACAGTTTCTAGCAAGTATGTGGCTTTGTAAGACTGGTTTGTTGCTAGTTAGAAGATAGACAGGATAAGTATACAATCCGTGATGGCTGAGAGCAGTTCACAGAACCAGAGGACAAATGGACAGTTAGCACGGAGCCTGTTTATCTCAGTAGCTTGTGATGGCAGCTTCTTGCTCTCTAATTGAAGTGACAGGGAACTCTTCCTTTCATCTTCCTCCATCTTCACTAGTTCCCTGTCTCTGATCACTCATGAAAATAATTTAGTTCTAGAATACAGGAGCAGTACCCAAGATGTCAGAATGTCAGTTTCTCCCTGTCTATCACTTAGCTTGAAGTCAATTTTTAGTTTATATAATGCTGAAGGTCATTTTTCTCAGCATTTATTAGATATTAACAAAGATAAAAGGACACACAAAACACTTTCTATTGAGGTAAAGATATCAACATAGAAACTAGAGCAAAGAGACCTCAGTATTTCTAGGAACTGTTTATACACTGTTCCAGCGATATGAAGAAACCAGTTTGCTGGTAACCTGTCACTAATGGTGTGCCACAAGAATCAGTGCCAAGGGAGCCACAATTATTTAGAATATATATTCATGACTTGGATGAGGGAAGTGAATGTACCATCTCCAAGTTTGTGGATAACACAAAAATAGGTAGGAAGACAAGTAGTGAGGACAATGAGCAAAAACTTGGCAGATGGAATATAATGTAGGGAAATGTGAGGCTAGGCATTTTGGCGGGAAGAATAGAAGAGTTGAATATTATTTAAATGGAGAAAGAATGCTACAGAACAGAGGGATTTGGTAGTCCTTGTCCATGAATCACAAAAGTTCAGTGGATAATAGAGAAAGCAAATAGAATGTTGGCCTTTATTTCAAAGGAAATAGAATATAAAAATTAAGGTGGTTTTGCTAAAACTGTACACGGCACTAGTCAAACCACAGCAGGAATACTGAATAGTTTTGGGCCCCGATGTCTGGAAAGATATTTTGTCATTGGAGGCAGTCCAGATAAGATTCACTAGGCTGATGGCTGGTATTGAGGAGGATGCAAGGAGGCTGTAAAATGATTTGGATAGGTTAAATAAGTGGGTATGAACGTTAGCAGATTTCAGATATTAAGAGGAAACATGATTATCTACATCACAAGGAAAAATCAAAATGCCAAATCATTTCTAACTCAGAATGTGAATCTTGGAAATTCTCTACCTTGAGCTGAGGGTGGTCAGATATTTATTATATTCACTAAAATTTTAGATGCCTGAGAAATTAAGGAATATGAGGACAATATGGGCAGCTGTATAGATGTAGTCGAGATCTACCATGATTTTATTGAAGGGCAGAACAAGCTCTAAGGTATAAATGTCCTATACCTTGTGTTTCTATTGTTCTTATGAGTACATTAGGGCAGCATTTGGGAATCACAATTACACTGTCTACACATGGGCTACAGAGAGGGAAAAAACAAGTCATTCAGGCTTCCTGCAATGCTCCTTTTAGTGACCCTTGCTGCAATGTGTGCTTGTGAAAGCCATATTAGCTCAGCTGTGATGCCATACACAGTTTTAAAGCTTGGCGATATTTAGGTCAGTGGGTCTCAGACAAGGTCTGTAAAGAATTAACAAGGGGCCTGAGAAATAGCAGAAGCACACAAAGGAGTGGAGGACCGAACACAAGGAGCACAGAATGAAGTGCAGCTACCAAATGATGTGGCACACAGTGGACTGGTCCCCTCATCTAGCATGCATGGAGGAGCTCTCATAGGGACAGAATATCTTAGGTCTTATGAGAGTTTGAGTAGATTGGGCCTATACTTGTTGTAATATCCAAGAATGAGAGATGGCCTTATTGAAACATACAAGATGTTTAGGGAACTTGACAGGGTAGATGCGGAGAGGTTAATTCACCTTGTGGATTAGTCTAGAATTAGAGGGCATAATTGTGGAATAAAGGTTTGCACATTTACGGCAGAGATGAGGAGCAATTGTTTCCTCTCAGAGTCTGTGGAATTCTTTACCACAGACGGCTGTTCAGACTGGGTCATTAAGTACCTTCAAGGGTGAGATAGACAGATTTTTAATCAGCGGTTATGGGTAAAAGACAGCAAAGTGGAGTTGATGATTAACAAATCATCCACGATTTCACTGAATGGCCTATTTCTAATCCCATATTTTATGGTTCAAAAAGGTGACTTGTCATATTCCAATAAGTGGAAGAATGTGCCAAATGCAGAAGAATCAAGCCAAATTAATTATTTGCTCATTTTTAGTGTTTTAACCTTGACGTGTATGCAACCAAAGATCAAACTTAAAAAAAAATCTCTTCTCGCATTTTTTTTTCAGTATTGGTGCTCTTGTGGGATTGTCTATAGCAGCAGTGATTCTTTTAACTTTTGTCATCACAGTTTACGTTCTCTGCTACCTCTTCATCTGCACTAAACCACAATCCAGGCTGAATACTGGATTAGATTTACAAGCACCAGGTAAGTTAATTTTATTTGAAAATGTTCATGACATATGTAATACCTTCTGAAATAGCATTGGATAAATTGTAAGTCTGGTAGAATTGTATACTGCTTTTTAAAAACAAAATTGTTGATCAAAGTTGAGAATCACCAGCAAAACTAACATTTATTGCTTATCCCTAATTGCCTTTGCGAGTTACCTTCTTTAACCACTGCAATCCATGTATAGTAGATATACCCACAATGCTGTTAGGGAGGGAATTCCAGAATTTTTAGCTCATTGATGGTGAAGAAACAATAATATATTTCCAAGTCAGTATGGTGTGGGGCTTGAAGGGGAACTTGAAGGTGTCATGCTACGATGGATCTGCTCCCCTTGTCCTTCTAGCTGGCAGAGGTCACAATTTTATAAAGGACTGTCAAAGGAGTCTTGTTGTGTTACTGCAGTGCTTCTAGCAGACATTATATGCTGTTTCAAAAAATCTACTGATGGTAGAGGGGGTACATGATTAAAATAGTAGGTGGGGTGCCAATTAAGTGAGCTGCTTTGTCTTGGATGTTATCAAAATTATTGAGTGTTGTTGAAGTTGCATTCATTCAGGCATGTGGAGAGTGTTCCATTGCACTCCTGAGTTGTGTCTTGTAGATGGTGGACAGACTTTGTGGAGTCAGGATGTGAGTTACTCTCCATAGAATTCTCAGCTTTGATTTCCTAGTGTAGTCATAGTATTTTATTACTGGTCTAGTTAGCTTTCTGGCTATTGGTGACCCAAAGATGTTGATGGTGGAGATTCAGAAATATTAACGCCATTGAATATCAAGGATAGATGGTTAGCTTCTTTCCTCATGGAGATGGTCATTGCCTGCCACTTATCAGCCAAAAGCCTAATTTTTTGTTAGGTCTTGCTGCATACACAGGACCAGTAATGAATATCTGGAGGTGTTTCTCTTTCAGAGAACATGGAACTGTGGAATGGAATAGGCAGCTGGCTTGTGTGATGATTGCTGATTTACTAGATTTATTCAAGTGAAAGCTACACATGGGTCTAGCTGGGACAGAGAATACACCAAACAAAAGGTAGGTAAAATTAAATATTAATCAGGACCAGCACTATCTCCTGGACAAGTATAAGTTGTCTAAAGAGATGGAAGTTGTTTTTTGCTGTCCTGGGATTTTAAGATGTATTTTCTACTTTCTCAGGAAATTATGTGGCATTCTAGTTGGCCAGGAGAGCTTTGATTGTGGTATAATGCATCACAATCATGTGATTGAATGGGCTAATAGGTCTTTTCCAGATCATCATTGTTTTGTTCATGGCATATATCTGTTACGCAACTAATATCAAACTTTAAGTCAAAAGCAGGCTCGATCGTCCTTTCCATGGCTTAGGTTTCAAATGTCTCTGCGCCTTTGAATTGTTTCTCCAGGGTAGCTGCAGATTTCTACATTAGATATCTCCCAAACTCTCCGGAAATCCACCAAGGTCTCCCAGGGCTGCCTCCAAGTTCAGAAATTACCTCCAAAAAATACCATACCCTAAGATCCTACCTCCTATTGATCCACATTGCCTCCACTTTGCACTGGAATTTATTCAAGGAATGCAGAATTTCACAGAGGTATCTATGATAGAGAGTGGATCCAAATGAAAGCTGAAGTATGCAGGAACACTTTTCAAGACTGAAATTTTTATTGAGTGCACCTCTGTATTGTGGTCACTTCTCCAGCCTCTTCCATGTCGCAAATTCCCCCTCAGATTCGTCAGGTCTCAACCTCTTCTCCAGGAACTGAAATGCCCCCAAGGATCCTTTGGGTCCTGTTGACTGCCTCAGGCAACTTGTTGGCCTGAAGTTGTCTTTCCTTGCTCCTCTTGAGTTCTTTCCAAAACATTCTCCTGTCTCAAATTTACTTCCAGCTGTCCTCACAGGCCTACTTCCAGGTCAGAGCTGTCTCCCAGGATGCCTCCACATCCAGGGATTATCCCCAGGCTGTGCCCAGGTCCTGTACTCTCCTCAAGCACTAGGCCATTGAAAAATATAAAATATAGATAGACCTGAATGCTTGAAAACATGACATACCTGTATTGGTGGTTATGGTTTTCTGTTCTACTCAGTGGATTCTAATACTTGTATTAAGCAATTTTGAAAAATGCTGGCAGTGCACGAAGGGCAGAATCTCAATGTCTGTGGAGGTGAGTTTGCAGGCAGGACAAGGAGGGAATTAGGAACCAATCTGATGATATCTAGCCTTTGGAAGATCTTGCTGGAGGTGGAGTTGTACTGGCAAGGCCACCCATAGCAATCAAGTAGCAATTTGGAGGCTAATTAGGGGATGGGAAGAATTTGGCTGGAACCTTCCTGGTGTGAGAGGAGATTTCTGCTGAGTGTCATGGCTAGCAATTCAGTGGCTGCAGGTACAAATCTATTATGGTGTGTTGCCTCCCCAGTGCCAAGATCAAGGGTGTCCTTGAGCAGCTACAGAGGTGAGGGTGGTCATAGTCTGCACCAATTCGAACGACGTGAGGAGAAAGAGGGAGGTGGTTGTATTGAAATCAATGACTCTCAAACAAGATCTTGCAATGCTCCAAGTAAGTTAATTGCAATCATTTATTTTCCTCAAATGTGCTCAGCAACATTAAACAGAAATCATTAGATATCAACTAACAAAAGCTGAAGCAAAAGCTTGGGTCAGTCTTGAAGCAATCAAGAGCGGGAAAAAAACTCAAGAGATCAGATTTTCCTGCTGCAGCAGTGATTATTTACCAAGGAAAGGACGAACTCAGACAAATCCGAGCTACAAATTTTGAATGATTAAACATAGACGAATGACACTGATCATTAAAGTATTATTTTCTTGGTTCTCATAATAGCTACAATCTGATATAGTACTGCTATTGTCTACTACCTCATTCCTCCCCCCAACTCTTACCCCTTGCCTTACCTTCTCTTGCTCTACACCCCTGTCTTCTCCTGCCTATCCTTCTCTCCTTCTTCCTTCCTATCTCTTCAACCTATGCTCTTCCTGGGTGCAGCCTGGTCAGAACTGGAAGTTCTGCTAATTGTGCACCCTACCCACATGGCACTGGCTTAACTGGCACCCTATCCTGTACCCATCGGTCACCCTATCTTCTGGGACCTGTCTCTACCCAGGAAACACCCTACCCAGCTGGCACCCTACATACCTGGCACTCTACCCTCCTACCTATTTGCTACCTTACCGTCCCAGCACCCTAAACTCACACTTGCTTTATGTCGCTGTGATTTGACAGCAGCTGTCAAAAGTGGCCGTCAGGACCTTTAAATGTCAGAATATGGCAGCTGACTGCTGTGAAGAGGGGTCTTTGAAAGAACTATCAGAAATGAAGCACATCCCTGCATTTCTGAGGGAGATCTGATTGGAATCTCCTGTCAGAAATGTGAAGCTCCCTTCTTTCATCAAAAAGAAAAGCCAAAGTTGAAATCTGCATAAGATTGCCAATCCTCGAAAAATGCAGACTTTTGTTTTTTCCCCTCTGTTAGCTGCTCTGAAGGAGTGGGCAAAGAAATCACTCTGGAGGAGGGGCACAGAGATTACCCTGGAGGATTGGGTACAGAAGTCACATTGAGGAGCAGATGCAGAGGTCACATTGGAGGCGTGGTTCCAGAGGTCACACTGGAGGAGTGGGTACAGAAGTCACACTGGAGGAGTGGGTGTAGAGGTCACACTGGAGGAGTGGGTGTAGAGGTCACACTGGAGGAGTGGATGTAGAGGTCACACTGGAGGAGTGGGTGTAGAGGTCACACTGGAGGAGTGGGTGTAGAGGTCACACTGGAGGAGTGGGTGTAGAGGTCACACGGGAGGAGTGGGTGCAGAGGCAATCAAAAGAAAGGGTAACATGCCAGTTGAAATGGAAGGGATGGGAGAAGCTGCTGGGAAAACAATTGAAAGTACACAGTAAGATTTTTATTTCTGTCTGTATTATAACCTGATCGAAGCTGAATTTCATGCCTGGAATTGACTGAATATGCAAATTTAACAAGCTGTAGTCTCTATTTTAATGCTTGATTGCTTGAGCATGATCCTTGGCGATCAGGACTCATTCTAAATTGCACCATTTATTGTCCAGTGATGCCTGCTACAGTTTCCATCATTTTAGAACATAAGTGAGCACTCATTTTTTTCAGGTAGTACATATTCTCTTGAATGAGAAAAACAGGGCAGATGAAACCAAAGCTCCCTGGATGGACGTATAATAGGTGTCCAAAAACCTCATTGCATCTGCTGGTTGAGTGCAAACTCTTGACTAGAGACTGTCAGATTCACACTATATCCTGTTGTCCATTCTCCATCACCACAGGACATGGAAAATGAATCCTGACAGAAATGTGAACATGACTTTGGCATTGTCATTGTCTACACCATCTTGAGGTTGTCATGGTCACATTTTGTTGATGTATGGAGCTACAATGACTGGGACTATCTTACCATTGCAGCCTTCATCCCCCTTCACAGCTGTTGAGGATGTTTTGGACCATACTTCATCTGGCAGCTCTCCTCAGTAGTGCTACCAGGAACTAATAGCTCTTGATGGAAATGTTCAAGGAATCATTAGAGTGCACAACCTTGCTGTGTCAAGGTGGCGATCTGAAAGGGAATAGCCATTTTGGGGACATAGTTGCAATTTTTGTCAGTGGGGTATTGTGATGTAAATCAAGCCCGCTATTGGTGTTGTTACAAAAGTGAAAGATTTGTCAAATCCGCAAAATTCCATAATTTACCTGACTTTTTACAACCCAGGTTAACAGAAAGGACCAGCTTTCTGCACTTAACAAGAATTACCGTTTATTACAAGTAATTAGTTTCTTACTCCAGGTAACAATCACGAACCATCGACATATAACTTGACTGGTTAAGACTCTCAGTCCCTTATAAAACTTCCCCTACGCACATATGCAGACAGAGACAGACAGAGATAAAGTAGTGCCAAACAAAGAGACCTTGGAGTGCTGGTTCATAGTTCCTTGAAAGTGGAGCTGCAGGT